CAAAATTCTCTTCACTTATGCCACGAAACGTTATTACCAATTCAAGTTTGAATGAGAGAATGCCGCTTTTTGAGAGAATTCGTGTTTGAATTTTTACAGAATCGCAGGGCAGTACGTTATCTTTATGTACAGGGATTTAAAGTTGAGTCAGTAAGATCCCTTAACCAATATATATTAAAACTATGCATCTTTAACTTTTTAAGATATTCTGGACAGCATTTATAGATTTTAGAAGATATGTACAGTCAGAAAAAAATGGTATAATACTAAAAACTTAATTTTCATATAGAAATCAAATGAAATATTTCGAAAAACGAAATATCTACTCAAAATATACTTGATGTCAAATGATTCTATCGCTGACGGTTATCGACTGCTAGATGGGTCACTGCTTATTAGAAATAAAAAATTTAGAAAAAAAATAACTAAGTTAACTAATTTCACGAAACACTGAACGAATTCAGCTGAAATTTGGCATACCTATATATATAGTTATCATAGAGGTCCATTAAGCAATTGTTTTAAGACTTTTTTGACGTGATTTGAAAATCATGTAATGTACCGGGGCGGAAGTTAATTGTTTGATTTTCATATTTATATATAAATATATTAGAAACAATAATACTTTTTAGTGTCGCGGGCTTTACCAAAGTATTTTGTTTTGAAATTGAGTTAGTGATTTAATTTATTTATTGGATTGTAATGAGGAAGTATTTAAAAAAAAAAACGAAAGCACTAAATAGCACCTCCATTAGATGACGACTCTAGAAAAAGATGAGTAATTTCCGTTCCTTTAAACTAACATATTAAAAATCTGAAATTTAAAAAGTTAGAAACTTAGATATCAATACGAAAAAGAATAAATAGAATATGAGTTGTTTATTGAGTTTTGAAAACTAATTTACTTTTGAACTTGAAAGAAAACCGGAAAGGTTGTCATGGAGAAATCAAGAACGTACCGTAGCGAAATCTAGTTTGATTTGGGGAATTGATGTTTTTTTTTAATATTTCCTCATTGCCCGACAAAAGTTTCTGAACCTTTTTTTATCCTCATTAGTCATTCAGTTATACAATATTGGTCTATATATTGCAATGTATAAAACATTATTAAGGTAATTGGAGAACCCATCTAATTGGCGATTTAAATCCACAATCATATTATATAGTCACGCTGCTGTAATGCTATGTAATAATAATATGTATAGGTGGTTATAAGAAATCACGACGGTATTAGATAGGCCGGTTAGTATTGTCTTACAAGTTTTTTATTCATTTTGCAATGTTTTTATGTTCGTCAAAACTTGTAACTGAATTTAAAAATTATTGTAATTTTGTGTACAGCTTTAGTTAATTTATGGTTAGATAATTAACATAAATTATATTACACATCCGGCATATTAGATTCCATCACCTAAGATGGAAGTCTAGTTATTTTTTGTGCACTTCATGATATGGGTAACAAATGGAAGGGATTTCTTTGAAATATGAGAATAATAAAATAATTTCACTCTAAAACCAACATGGTGGACCATCCAAGATGGCCGACTAGTTTATCTTTAAGCAGTCTCATATTGATATCAAAACAAAGATTCGCTGAGAAAAATACAATAATAGATATTTAAGATACGAGTGCGGAAAGTAAGGTTTTGCGAGGGTTTTCATTGGCACGAATTCGAAAAACTTTTTACGGTCAAGTTTCTTACAATATTTTTCAATGCTTTTTGCGAGGAAATAAAACAAATATATAGGTTAATAAAACTAAGTATGTATTAAATGTAAAATTAAACGTGATATTTGAACATGTTTTCGTGTCATACATTTTCATTTGAAAATATTCGTTCTAGGCTCCTTGAAATACTTTTGCCTCTAAAGTTTGACATATTTTCATCAATTTTTTTTAAATTTCTTTGGTGCTCGGCCAAAAAAAAATTGCAGTAAAGGATTTCAGTACATTTTTATTTAACACGTGTTTAAAGACTCACTTTCGGTGTTTACAATGGATTAAAAAAATAGCGCTTTATGAGCAACTGCATTAAAAATAAATTGATTTTAGTTTTCTTCTTTTTACCGCATTTTAATAAAATATTGATTAAAAAAATAATGAGACAGCTTATTCTAATTGATTAAATAGATAAAGACAACAGGAATTATAATGTAGTAACAACGTACTGTATATAATAAGATTTAATGCATTTATATTTTTACCGGGGAAAGATTCCTCACGGAGTTTATTTGAATGGGATAACCTCATTGATTTTTTAAACATATAAAAAGGTCAAGATAGATGAAGAAGGAGTGGGCGGACATATTTAGTGGCATTTGGATTTAAGTTAACTAAATCAACTTTATTTATTACGGTTTTGAAATATATTTAGTGACGTCAAGTGGAGCGAATTCCGCAATTCACATTGACGTTTCAGTTTACATAATAAATTATATACGACAAACGTGCTTGGAACTACGTTTTCTCTCTAAATATATAGGACAGGTATATGAATCTGTGTCTACGAGTACCAGAGTAAGGAACGCTTGTTTGCTTAAAGTCTAATGTTGGATGTGTGTATGGATGTTTAACTTAGTTCCTTCGAATATAGCGCCCTATACTCGTATACTACAAATCTTTAGCACGACTATTGACTTAGTATTTTACTACGGTATGTAAATTAAATTTGTTAATAGCTTATTGCTTTTTAGTAAATAATGAGTTAATTATATTTGATAAATTTTGCAGTCACAATGCTATACTTATAAGTATCTTTGTAAAAAATAATAAATAATGGGACTCGAACTTACAACTTTTCGCAATCCGGACGACTGATTTAATCTTCTCGGAGTACAGTGGACTGATGAATATCTTAAGTTATTTTCAAAGATATAAATGTTGAGTTGCATGGACGTAATACTACAGTTACGATTTGGTCTGAGTAATGTATGTGTTGTTGTAAAATTTAATGTTCTTTTAATATATTGTCATCTTATTTCATATATTATTTCATATATATTCTTATTTTTCCTTTACATTCGTACAAGATTCTACTGTGATAGCAATTCACACGTCAACATCATGTTTTCGACACAAAACTATTAGGGCTATTATTGTTATCAACTGAAGGTCGCAAGGGGAAGTCAATTTAGTCAAAACTGTAGGAAATGAGCTGCGGCAAAATGCTTAGTGATGTGATGTAGTAAATATTGATATGGTTTGTAAAAGACAAATAATAAAAATATATATTACTATATAAATAACATTTTCTTCTTAAAAAAATGGTTATTCGATTATTATGATTGATTTTTAATGGAAAAAGAATGTCATAAATAAGTTTTGTGAATATGAAACTGAATATAAAGCAATTTACATTAAAAAAACTTTATTTAAATATACTTTTTACTTTAAGTTTTATTTAAGCTTTTTTTCAGTGATGATTCGTACTCATGATTAGTAACCTGTAAAAATATATATTAACTCATGTAGTAACGCTTATGTGACACTACTCGATGCACTTAGTTGAGGGTATTTGAGAGTTAGAAAATATAATTTTTAGTGGGTAAACCATGTCTGTCTATGCTTGTCGCCGAGCTCAGGAGCTTATTTTTAGTGCTACGCCACTCTACACTAATAAATTATTTAGCCATAAGTCCTTTTTTTCACAATAACAGTTTTATTAAAATGCCTGAAAGAAAACGTGTGAGTGAAGATTTCAATAATTTCCGTTTTAAATTTAGAAAATTAGAAAATGTGTTAAGGAAATCCCGACGAAGTCGGATTATTGAATCATCTTCCTCGGAGTCATCAAAGTTCATAATAATTATAGCGACCTATTTCTGTCAGAGTGATTTCACTGCATTCATGATCTTGACCTTGATGTGGCGTTCAAGTTCACTTAAGTAATTTTAAATATATGTTCTTAAAAAGATATACGTGTAGTTCTATGACAATACAGGTTACTTTATTAACATACAAATAATTTTATTATTTAATTTTACCTAATTGGCAAGTCATTTTCTCTAAAACTAGTATGCGTGTAATAAATACTACGGGAGCATACTTAAACTAAGATAGATACAATTTAAAGCTTATGTACGAATATGTACATATAAAATGGTTTGCGAGTAATTCATTAGGAGTTACTTCATATAAGTGCAACATACATTAATTGAACCGATTGCGCGTAATTCTTTGGGAATGATGTCTTTCGTGTTATTCAAATAAAAGTCGGTTTGCGCTTAACTGTGTGGGAGTCAAGTCTTACTGATTATATGCTTAAGCTTTCGAGATATTCAAAGCTACCATCAATCATTCAGACGGAATTCGACTAAATCCCGCGATGACTATGATACCTGTATAATATCACTACTTTTCCGGAAATTAATAATGGAGAGCCATCTAAGAGTACCTATTCCCATAAGTAATGGCCGAATCTATAAGCCGATGGACATTCTACTGCCTGAAGCAATCTTCAGGACAAGTCTTGATAGCATTCTTTTAGAAGTCTTGGGCGAAGAATTCAATAAGGAAATTCACAAAGATTAGTAACGCGATTAAACCTCATAGCCACTAATGGCCTAGACTCAAAAATTCGTAATGAATTGACGAACAAATACCTCATATCTGCCAAAGCCACCGGCATCGCTGTGCCGCTACTTAACGCAGAGATTAAGGCCGCTCTTCCTGAAGTTCTGATAAAAGGTGACAAGCAACTGGAAATTCGCCAAAAACATACAGCAATAATCTTAGCGTGTCTATAGTCTGTGTTGACAGAGCAACTTAACATTTTTCCTTTTAATCAAGAACTGATAAAGAAGCTTATGGACACGGCACGACTACATTGTGGTCTTCAACATAAAGATTCAATCAAGAAAAGAAACTTTCTTCTCTTTTCTCTGAAAAAGAGATGTGAAGGAATACACGAACAACACAAAGATAGATAAGTTCTTGTTTTGTGAAAACTTGCCTGAAGCCTTGAACTACTAAATTTATTCACGGCTTTACAGCTAAAGTCATGACCTCAAGAAGTAGTGACCTCAAAATTCAAAATAGACCAAATAAAAAACTTACAACACGATCGAAGCTTCCGGTGACAAAAAACTGGAAGCCTCCAGTCCTAGATCGCAGGCCATAAATGTCAACGTTATAATAAATATTAAAGTGCAAAATTTCAGTAAGTTAGTATTGATAACACTGCAAAATAATTGTCTCTTACATTATGGGTAGCAATTATAATTATGTTAATACACTAAATATCAGTTTTAAGCACACGTAAACTTTTATACTTCACTTAAAGTAGAACTAACAATCTCGCTCAATAAAACAACTTAACGTCTACTTTCCGGCTAAAGCTTGTTGAACATTCTGGAGATCACTTGCTGCCGGGTTTTAAACAACCTGATTTAAGGCAATTATTTAAGATTAAATAGCTTAAAGTAAATATAAGTTTTATATATAAAAAGGACTCATACTCATTATGTAGGAAACGGAAATGTTTTGGTTAATTATTATTTAAAAACATTTCTTTTTTCAATGTAGTAGTTGGAGTTATTAGATTCAACCGAAATAAAGTACACAGCAAGCTTATTAAGCTTATAAGTTGCAGAAGTTCATTATTGAAATTGAATATGTTATTGAGTCTTAAGTAAATACTATTATACTTCAAGCTTCGTAAGTGTAAGGTAACTAATGTTTTAGCCCAAAGTCAAATACTCACAAAAAATAGATTGCAAAGATGAAAGTTAAATAAATGATAAATCCAATCGAATACTACTTACATATACCTATCAAGGATATCTACATATATTTCCTATGACGCTATAAATATCTCGATTTTGTTAAGTATATGCAGATAGATCATATGCATAATAGTATTGTTAAAGCCAAAGTGTTCCTCCTTTGTACAATATTTGAGAGTCAATAATATGTATAGGAATAACTGAACACACTTATTTGGTTAAGATATTGATAAATTTTAATATTTACGCTGGGACTATTGTTACATTTTTTAAATTATCTTATTAAGTAGCTTTATATTAGTGAAAGAATTTTCGAAATCGGTCCAGTGGTTGTTTGAGTTTAGTAATTATAAACTATCATACAAAAATATAACGTTTCCTCTGAAACATGAAAAGTTTTGTAAAAACTTTATTTTTTGTAAGTGAATTATATTTTAGAAGTTGATTATTTGTTTTTTATTATTGGCACTTCAATGCGATGACCTTACGTGTCTGATTGCTTTGTGTGCCGATTTCAAGGGGTTGCTTTTTCCAAGGTCCCGGGTTCGATCCCAGTCAAGTGAATATAGAAATTAAAAAAAATATATTTTGTCCCTACATACAATACAAGTGCTTTAACACTTAATTTGGAATCTAAGCAATGTATGTGATGTTAAAATAATTTACGGAATCATCATCCTCAGACTATTAATGTCCCCATTGCCCGAGCACATGCTTTGCCTATGCATGGAACTCAATCGACTAGGGATAACGGACCATGACTCACCACGCGGGACCAGTGCGGATTGGTGGTTGCTAACGACTGCAGATGAAGCCAGGCATATCGGATTAATGCGCCTTTCGAAGCACGCAGGAGTTAGAAATTATATTATTTTTTGTCACCTGGTCATAGGATTATGACCGATCCTTGGGAAAGTTGCTTAACTTTCGTAACGCAGACCAAACGCGTTCTAATTACTGACTGACTGATGACTGATAGCGATATCAGATTCACTAGTTTCATGATGTTGTCTAATATTTATAATTAAATATTTATTAATATAACTACTATTACAACGGTATTGATGATGTAAATATAGTAATATTTTTATAATCGTTATCTCTATTAGTTTTGTTAACATAAGTTCGAAAACGAGTGGTTCATTATTTTAATTCGTAGGTTGCTTGGCTGAGAGTGGACACTCAAACAATTCTTACTATTCACGACCACGTAATATCGAGGAGCAGAAGAGTGGGCGTTACCCATAGTGACCACCGTACCTGGTTCCTCCACATAAGAGAACTGCGGGAGACGGACAGAGGGTGGTACATGTGTCAAATAAATACAGATCCTATGAAGAGTCAGTTGGGATATTTAGATGTGGTGGGTAAGTGAAGTGATTTTCCTTTTTGTGTCTCGCCATATATTGCTATTAATATATATATATATATATATATATATATATATATATATATATATATATATATATATATATATATAAATTATCTTGTAATAAATAAATCACATATTGATAATTATTAAATCACTACGTTCTTAAATAACTACGAAGTGAAGATGAATGTTGCGGTAAAAGCTTTTATCAAGATGCTTTGTAATTTTTAGAATCCAAAAATATATTCAGTTTAATTGCTTTGTTGGTTTAATCAAAAATATTATGACGGTATTATGCACTAGACTCAAGATGAGTTAATAATAATACGTATTTCTCCTGTCAGTGCCACCCGACATTTTGGATCGAGGAACGAGCACCGATCAAACTGTCCGTGAAGGTGCTTCAGTTAGTCTGACATGTGCTGCAAGTGGATCTCCACACCCCCAAATAATTTGGAGACGTGAACATTCTAAGCTGATAACATTTTCAGACGGAATACAAGGTTCGAGTTTGAATCAACTTATTACTATAATTTTTGCACTTAACAAAATGTTCCTGTATATTTTTTTTTACCTAATATGCTCGTAAATGCTGCAAAAAAGCGTCAGAATCGAGTTGAGATAATGTCTAGAACGATATTCACAGATTTCTAATTGTTTAAATTTTTATTAATAGCGGTTATTTTTCGCAGTGTCATCGATAGAAGGGCCCGTTCTAAACATAAGCCGTGTGAGCAGACAGCACGCGGGGGCGTACTTGTGTATAGCTTCCAACGGGGTTCCGCCTACTGTCAGCAAAAGGATCACTCTCACCGTTGAATGTAAGATAATTTATGGTGTGTTATCTATTTATATCTCCACGCTCTATCTCTCGGAGCGTAGGCAGAGAGAACTGAGAGCTACAATGGATCTTACACATGTCATTCACTTACTTGACATCCATAATTCTTTTCAAATAAACCCACGTAGGTTTATAGGTTCTAATATTACATATTTTTTCGCTTTTATATTGATCGTAGTTTCGGCATCTTCAGATTCTCTCCGTGACCAAAACAATAGCCACCGATATTGTCAAGTCAATTTTGAGCGGGAGCGTTTTTATGAGACTGCATATCGACTTGACAGTGTATATTTCATTAATTTTGCATTAACAGTGCTGTATTGAATTGTATTAAAGAAGAATTCTTGAAAAATCCATTAGTCTCACGCCTGAACTGGTTAATTTTGCTTGAGTACTCAAGTATTGTATTATAAAATAGGATAATGGGTATGGCAAATAGACTAACTGTCTAAAACCCGTCATCAGAATGAGTACTGAATCACTGCTGTGTTTTTAATCTTTAACGTGAAGAAATCGGCTTTCGCTGCCAAGGAATTTTTCAATCTATATTTGTGGTCCCTGCATCCACTTCCCTTTCAAAACTAAAGTTACATCTTACCATTCCATTCCAACCTAAGGATAAGCAAGATATATACAATCTCATTTAGTAAACCACCCAATATTATTCTTTAGTCTTTCTTTCTCTTTAAAATAATGTGCAAAATTTCAACAAATTTTAACTATCACTTTAAATACTCTTTCACGGTTCCATAACGAGGAATAGCATTATTTGCTGATCTGAACGAAATCCATAATAATTTACTCGATCAGCCCTACGATTCTGTAAAAATCCAGACCCGAATTCGAATTCACTCATGTGTCCGAATTCACGTCATTTAGTGTAAAAATTCTATTGATTCCATTTTTTTTTGTATAAAAATACAAAACAAATTGATTGAATACACGTGTCTCAGATATTCTATTCCTATATCATTTCGAAACTCACTTCACTTATGCTACGAAACGTTATTACCAATTCAAGCTCAACCTTGAATGCCTCTTTTTGAAGTCAATTCGGACACCTGAGAGAATTCGAATTCGGGTTTGGAGTTTTACAGAATCGCAGGGCTGATATGGTCAACAATTTATATGCAATTTCAAATGTATAATTTATGTTTTTGTACAGTTCCCCCTGTTATAACAATACGAAATCAACTGGTGGGTGCCATATTGGGCTCAGATTTAGTACTGGAGTGTGAAACGGAAGCTTACCCCAAGCCAGTTAGTTACTGGAGCAGAGAGACTGGGGAGATAGTACCTGTGGGTAAGTATATAAGCATATATCTATACTTATGTACGCATTAAACATAATTGGATTACAGATATTGTTAGAGTATTTTCTTCAACTGTTTGTTTCCCGAATAAAATAAATATAAATAAAATAAATATCATTTTATTGATATCTGTAAAAAAGACATTGGACACCATTTTACAAAAAAAAGCAACAATAATTTTGGCACAGGCAAAGTTTATATGGAGAAGAAGCAGAGAATGTTCGTTTTTTTATCAATAATTCCTAAAAATTGTATTATATTTTTTCCAAATCATCAAATAATGTTCAATATTTGAGCGTAAAGGTAGAATTTCAACAAGTAGGCCACCACTACTTTATTTTCCGGGTTACTTAGCAATTTTGTCAAAATATGTCCATCACAATCTGCGATCGTCTGTACATAAATACCTATTACACACAATTAACCCGGATAGGCATCATTGATTTTGATCACATATCGCAACCGGTCACCTACTTACTACTGAGATTGATAACTTACCTATCTTTGTCGAGTTGATATCTACTGTATAAGACTCGGAAGGTTTATATAGTAGACTTACAGTCAGCCATATAACTTTGATATTTATACTTAGTCTAAGGTTACTTCTATAAAATAAAAGTAACGCTATTAGCTGTTCATAAATACAATACAGGTGACATTGAGTTGGAAATAAATTATGTGCGTATAATCATAGTAATAAACAGATTCTCAGATGAAAGAGAATTTTTCTGATATGACTTTTACCATACAGTACAAACTTCTATGGAACCATAATCATAAGTTGAAACAGGTAGTCGGTCCTGTTATTATTTGTCTACAACCGACGAGACTGAAAGAGTCGACGGTACTTTGTAAACATGCGGATACAATTACAGAACATCCTCTTTGCTTAACGTTAGAGTTAAATGCTTTTATTTTTACACGACTGTCCAATAAAAGAAATGTATTTTGTTTAAGATATATTTATGTGAGTTTTGTTATTCCACCATTTATAGAGGATAATTAAAAACGTTACATCATCTCGACTGACACTGGTTATATTTCATTCGTGTATTGGAGTTGTCTATTTATTGAAAGAAATAAACCACTAGTGTTGGTACGTGTAGAACAAGAACGATGATCATGTATTTGACTATTGTTGAGTGCAGTAGAATTTAAAAAATTGACAATTAAATGAAACTGTTTGTCTATCAGTATGGAAGTAGTATAGTATTAATTATTACTAATTTATCAAACTCAACTTTTGAAATCTAAAAGATGTTTGTTATTAGTTAATAATGTAACCAATATTACTTCAGTAAATGTTCATTTATTTCGGGTTATCAAACAGTTTCTCTTATGAAGTGAAACTGTTTGATAACCCGAAATAAATGAAAATTTATTCAAATAAGACAACAGTAAAGATAGACAAATAAAGTTAAAATTGAATTTTAACATAATAAATCTCTAAATTATTTCATTATTGATTTCTTATATTTTCACGCGCGCTATCCATTAATGAAACAACTTTTAAACAGTTTTATCGCGTTTGTATTTAGTTGTATTGATGTTTCGGACACTTCATTTGTGTTCACATAAGACTAAGGTGTTTGTTAATAATTTCATTATGTTTGTAAGATATTTTAATTTTTGATTATAAAATTATCCTAAAAATTATATCTAATGTGTTTCAATTTTAGTTGAAAATAAAATCTCCCAAAAAAAGATGTTATAAAAAAGTTAATTAATAAATAGGTTTTCTCTAAATATTGTTTATATATGTACAAAACATTATTACTTTCGTTCATACTAAAAATAAACGGAGAATATTAAGGAAAGCTAATAAGACATTTCACATATAAGAGAGTCGAGTAACAAATTACTTACATGAAAATAAGTGATGCCGCAATAACGAGCTGAGCACTGTAACAGTTTAAATCTAACTGAATTGTTTTTGAACTTTCACGCATAAAATGTATTGACGGCTGTCTGTCTGCCTCCTATTCTCATTAGCATCCTGTTTGCTAACAAAAAGGACTGTTAGTCTTCTTATGATGTAATAAATAAATAAATAAATAAAATGAATATCACACTCCCTCAGTGAAACCGATTTCTATTTAATAGCATTAAGTGGCAATTGTATATTATGTAATTATTGCTTTTAAATTAGAAACGCTTTTCATAATTACTTATTTCCTAAGGGTATGGAGGGTAATGTTTATCGGCGAATGCGGGTTGATATTATCTAGCGATTTATCTTCGTTGTCCGTATAACCACCACGTAGGTATATACGAAGTATATATTTTATAATCGGACTGAACATCTATGTTTAATCGTAATAAAACATGAAAGCGAAATGACTTCGTCTGCGAAAATCGCGTCTTATGTAGCTACCTGTAAATGAAAGACTTATAAATCGGTCCAATAGTGACGGTGTCTATCCAATGCAAACAAACAAGCAATCAAATTTTTCCTCTTTGTAATATGAGTATAGAATTATTGGAAAAAATTATGTCAAGTAAATAAAAAAATCTTCTTTTCTAACATTTTCATGAACTCACAGTTACACATAAACTAAGTATATATGTGGAATATTTTTATTTATATAGATATTTAACATTTTTAGTATTAAAACCTTTTGTTTGAGACTATTTGAAGATAAAAATAAAAGAAACGAAGACTTTAAATGGACTGTAATTCGAGGAAAATCTCAATATAATAAATAAGTCGCGTCGAGTAGTCCGAATGCGTATGCGTGCGTCGTCTGAGTGTCTGTGGCGCCGCGCCGCACCCGGCATCGATGGCAGCCGGGTCCGGCGTAGTGATGTGCGCCCCCTTCTCGCTAGTGATGCAGGTGTAGGCGCAGACATACTCCCCGGCGTTGAAGAATCATCTTCAAGAAGAGAAGACTGGAAGTGGGCATATATTGTTGTAAGCTCACCGGAGCACACCCTTTCTGGTTTTGATGTCAGCCACCCTCGCTATGCCGTCGGAGCTAGGGATAAGCTTTATGACTCTACCCAGAAGCCATACCATCGGTGGTGACGTCTTGTCTTTAATGACCACCATGGTCCCGACTTGAAGTTGGCCTGAAGATTTCTTCCATTTGCATTTCTGTTGAAGTAGAGATACGTATTCGTTAGCATATCTCTGCCAAAAATGTTGTTTTAGCTTTTCGACCCGCTGATAGCGCTGAAGTGTCATAATGTTGACATTCGTCAGATCCGGATAGGGTACCGACGTGAGCGACCGTCCAATAAGGAAATGAGAGGGGGTAAGAAAGGTCAAGTCAGACGGGTCTGTTGACATAGGGGTTAGAGGTCTAGAATTTAAAATAGATTCAATTTGCGTTAAACAAGTTATCATTTCTTCATAAGAGAGATGTGATTGCCCTAATATTCTAAATAAATGAAATTTGACAGACTTTACCGCGGCCTCCCATAAGCCACCAAAATGTGGAGAGTAAGCAGGAATAAATTTAAAATTGATATTTTGACTATTCATGTCGTCTCTACAATTATATACTATGTGATTAAAAGCGCCCACAAACGCAGTCCCGTTGTCACAGTACAGCGTGTGTGGTTTGCCCCGTCGAGCAATGAATCTGTTGAGAGCACTTAGAAAACATTCTTTTGTGAGATCTGAGACGAGCTCCAGATGTAACGCTTTAACTGCGAAACAAACAAAAACACAAATATAGGATTTGATTAGTCGGCCACCGCGACCTTTTCGATTGACAATCATCACTGGCCCAGCGTAGTCTACACCCGTGTTAAGAAAAGGAAACTCCAAATTTAGTCTTTCAAAAGGCAGATTACTCATTATTGGTTGTGTAGTTGTGGCCTTTTGTCTTACACAACGAATGCATGAACGTACTATGCGTCTGGCTAAATTCCTTCCCCCGAGTACCCAATATTTTTGTCGTACTTGAGAGAGTAATAAAAAAGGGCTAGCGTGAAGTGACGTTATATGTTGCATTTCAAATATTAATTTCGTGAGAGTATGCTTACTGCATAGAAGGATTGGGTGCTTTACATCATAACTATAATTTGCATTGTGAAGTCGACCCCCTACTCTAATGATCCTGTCTGAATCGAGAAAAGGGGAAAGTGATAAAATTCTATTTTTTGATGGTAATGATTGATTTGAACTTAAGATGTGATATTCTTCCGGAAACATTATATATTGTTGCGTGATGCGAATTAATTTATTATGCGCTAGCATTATTTCTGATAAAGATAAGTGATCTTTGTTTTTAATTTCTCTGTTTCTTACATTATTTATAAATCTATTTACGTATGCTATTATTCTGATTAATTTCGAGAAATTAGAAATTCTCTCTATCAAGTTTATTATTGAATTTTCTACTTCATCGAGAAAGAATGACATTTCTGGAAGAGGCAAATTTCTTTGAGTGGATGTGTTAGGATTGATCGATGTGTGCGTATGTAGTGAATGTAAAAAGGTGGGGCCAGTCCACCACAGATTTGAGGCAATGAGTGACTCAGCCCTCGCCCCGCGAGAAACCAGGTCTGCTGGGTTCTCTTTTGACGGCACGTAGTTCCACACTGCATTGTCGGTATTTTCATGAATTTCATTTACCCTATTTCTAACAAATGATTTTAATTGATTAAATGAAGTGGCTAACCAGCCTAAGACAATAGAAGAGTCTGTATAAAAGAAACATTTGGAAAATTTCTTTGTTAATGATTTTGTTACTTTTTTATAAAGCCTGGTACCTAATAAGGCCCCGCATAGCTCAAAACGAGGTATTGTACTTGACTTTATAGGTGCAATTTTATTTTTGGAAGTTAATAGACGCACACGAATGTTACCGGTGTGTGTGATTGTTTTGATGTAACAACATGCTCCATAAGCTAGTTCAGATGCATCTGTAAATGTATGTATCTCTGTTACGGTAGTGTCATTGTCATTAAATGTCCAACGTGGTATGCTTAATGTATTCAGTGATGGAAGTGATTGTATTAATTTGAGGTAAGATGATCTTAATTCATTTGGTACATTGTCGTCCCAATCAGCTTTAATTTTCCATAATTCTTGTAATATTATTTTTATTGTTACAATGCAGGGCCCTACGAGACCTAAAGGGTCGAATATTTGACTTATGGCAGATAATATGGTGCGCTTAGTGACCTTTAAATTGGGGTCCGAATTAAATTCATAAAATAAAGTGTCTGTAACTGTATTCCAATATAGACCTAATGTTTTATTTTGAGTTATATTATTTAAATTTAATGATTTTTCTGTATCACCTTTTATTTTTAAAATAGATTGTATGATCTCTGGATTATTAGACTGCCATTTACGTAAATTAAATTTAGCTGTCTCTAAAACGCGAATGACGTCATGACAAAGATTAGTGACAGTTTCTATGGAATCTCCGCCACTTAAAAAATCATCGATATAGAAATCATGACAGAGGGCGCGCTTGGTATTGATATTTATACATTTTTCAGCTAAGGTAAGTAAGCATCGAGTTGCCAAGTATGGGGCTGACGCAGTACCGTATGTAAGAGTATTTAGTGTAAATGTTTGTAGTGGTTCTGAAGGGTCAAACCTGAATATGATTTGTTGTAGAGGACGTTGTGAAGGTTCTACAAAGATGGCTCTGTACATTTTCTCGATGTCACTGGTGACAACATATTTATGCTGCCGGAAGCGGAGTAGGATTGAAAAAATATCGTCTTGTATTGTCGGTCCTATTCTCTGTATATCATTAAAAGATTTACCT